GGATTACAGGCGTGAGCCACCACGCCCGGCCTGTCTTACTTTTGCCTGAGTTGTCCTGCCTTTCCAGACCGAATGTTCATCTTCCATATGCTGACTGATGTCCCCTGTGTCCTTAAAATGTATAAAACCAAACTATGCTCTGACCGCCTTGGGGACATGTCATGAGGACAGCCTGAGACTGTGTTACAGGCATCTGTCCTCAACCTTGGCAAATAAACTTTCTAAATTAACTGAGACCTGTCTCAAATATGTGGGGCTCACGTAGGTAAACAAAAAACTGCAACCTGAACTGAGAATATGCCCTGGCCATAAGCAGCCCAGCCTCGGCTACTCACAGCAGCGGAGGTCTTGGCTCTTCACAGCTCACAAGCTGCCAAAACATGTTCAGCTAAGGAAACTGCAGGGCTGCAACCGACAGGCTATTTCTGCATGAAACGCACATTTTCTGGCTCTAAATATTCCCCACCCACTTGTGGAGCAGCGATCTCTGAAGCACTTTTGGTTCTCAGTGCTACCTGGTTCATGAATCTTTTTTCTGTTCAACTAAACTCTGTCAAATTTAGTCTTAAGGCTTTTCTCTTTAACAGTATACATATATCACACATCGCATTGTACTACAAAAATGTAATTCACTGCGATTTATAAATTTACAATAGTCTATTTTTTTTTTTTTTTGAGACAAAGACAGCTCTGTCACCCAGACTGGAGTGCAGTGGCACCACCCGGGTTCACTGTAACCTCAAACTCCGGGGCTCAAGCAATCCTCCCACCTCAGCCTCCTAAGTAGCTGGAAGCACAAGTGCATGCCACCATGCCGAGCGAACTGTTTTTTAATTATTGTAGAGATGGGGGTCTCACTGTGTCACCCAGGCTGGTCTCGAACTCCTGGTCTCAGTGGCTCCTCCTGTGTGATCCTCCCACCTCAACCTCCAGAAGAACTGGGATTACAGGTGAGAGCCACCACACCTGGCCCAAAAGTAGTATATCATTTCTTCTAAAACACTAGATGTTTTTTTTCAGCTTTTATTTTAGAATCAGAGGGTACCTGTGCAGGTGAGTTACAAAGGTGCACTGTGTGAAACTGAGGTGTGGGGTATGCCTGAACCCGTCAAGGGGATGGTTTGGTTGTCAACTACCTGAAAAAAAAAAGATCCTTTCCAATCAACAGCTGCAGCACTATTTTAAAAAATGAAAATGTAACAATAAGGGTTAAACAAATTTTGACATATTTATAAAATGGAATACTATGGTGACATTAAAATATTTTAGACTGTTTAATCAAGGTAGGGAAAATGCATACTTTACTGCGTAAAAAAAAAGAAATTACAGAGAAATCTTTTTTTCTTTTTTTTTGAGATGGAGTCTCACTCTTGCCAGGCTGGAGTGCACGGGTGTGATCTCGAATCACTGCAAGCTCTGCCTCCCGAGTTCAAGCGATTCTCCTGCCTCAGCCTCCCGAGTAGCTGGGATTACAGGCAAATGCCACCATACTGGGCTAATTTTTTATTCTTTGTAGACATGGGGTCTCACTATGTTGCCTAGGCTGGTCTGGAACTCCTGGGCTCAAGCGATCATCCTGCCTCAGCCTCCCAAAGTGTTGGGATTACAGGCGTGAGCCACCACACACAGCCAAGAAATCATATTGTATGAACCCAACTTTATGAAATATAAATATAAACTACTCACACATGCTGGTGGGGGGGGGAAGAACTGAGAGGAAATATAGCAAAAATGCCACTAATGGGTAATTCTCGAAGGGATTACAAGTCATTTTTACCTTTTTTTCTTGATATGTCTTTTAATTTCCAAATTTCCTCTAATTTAATATGTAACTTTAAAATAAGCAGTAATTCATTTAGAGAATAGATTTAACATCTATTCTCTAATTGCTTTTGTTGGCAATAGTGTTCTTATTAAAAGTTCAAAAAAGTCAATAAATCAGGGATAAAAAGAAGTGTTCAAATCTTTTTTCTTAATTATTATTATTATTTTTTTTTGAGATGGAGTTTCGCTCTTGTTGCCCAGGCTGGGGTGCAGCGGCACAATCTCGGCTCACCGCAACCTCTGCCTCCCGCATTCAAGCGATTCTCCTGCCTCAGCCTCCTGAGAAGCTGTGATTATAGGCATGCACCACCACGCCCGGCTAGTTTTGTATTTTTAGTAGAGACAGGGTTTCTCCATGTTGGTCAGGCTGGTCTCGAACTCCCGGCCTCAGGTGATCCACCCCCCTCAGTCTCCCAAAGTGCTGGGATTATAGGCGTGAGCCACCACGCCCTGCCAACTCTTTTACAAAATGTGAAGGAAGGGAGAACATCTGAAGCTGGGAAACAACGAAATATAAGTGAAATATACTCTTAAATTCATGTTGAATGGTTGAGAGAGCAACCACCTCTTTTTCTTAGTAAATATTGACTTCCAATAGTTATCAGCAGTTGCTCCTCTTAGAAGGCCGGGCCTAGAATGACTCATCTGAAATGATGACAGCAGACAATTCCATCAGCAAGAAAGAGGGTTTTGAGTTCATCACTGAGGGAAAGCTGATGAGAGCAGAAAAGCTCCAGTCTGTATTTTCCAAGCTGCTGCCCTCCACTTCACCAAGACCTCCCAGATACTTCAGTAGGATCTAACAGTAAAACCTCATGGAGCAGATCATTTGAGCAGGCCAGGTCCCAGCAGGAAACAGAAAATGCAGCAGTGTCTCAGGGCAGATCACTCTGGGGAGACAGGCAGGTGGGGCAGCCAGGAAAGGAAAGTGAAGCTTGAAGGTCTAAGGAGAATGGGGAAGGCAGGGTGAGCAGAGAGAATGCAGCTGAAGTTAGCGGGCACGCTAAGCCAGAGAAGGCAGCGTGAGAGGACCCCAAGGAAGGGAATTTCCAAACTGAACCCGTGACTCAAAAAATTGACCCACAAATACTAAACTAATTTAGCTCCCACTCTACCTGATTTTTTTTTTTTCTTGTACACGTTCTCTCATGATCTTCCCAAAATGTTATTCTTAAGCTGCAGGGAGAGGTGAGCAATGGAAGGAACTGGCCGAGGCCCACCACCAGAGTAGCCCCAGGATCAATCAGGGGCCTCAGAGAAGCCCCAGAAGAGCCAGGAATGTACTGCAGATAATCTGGGGAGAAGCCGGCCGTGGTAGCTCACGCCTGTAATCCCAGCACTTTGGGAGGCTGAGATGGATGGATCACAAAGTCAGGAGTTTAAGACTAGCCTGACTAACATGGTGAAACCCTGTCTCTACTAAAAATACAAAAATGGTGGCGGGGTGCCTGTAATCCCAGCTACTCAGGAGGCTGAGGCAGGAGAATCTCTTGAACCCAGGAGGCAGAGGTTACAGTGAGCTGAGATCGTGCCACTGCACTTCAGCCTGGGTGACAGAGCAAGACTCTATCTCAAAAACAAAAAAGAAAAAAAAGAAAGAAAACCTGGGGAGGGTGCAGCGTTCCACTCAAAACTAGACTCTGTCAGGAAAGCCAACTCCAACATTAAATGCCCTAAAAGGAACAAAACGAACTTGCCAGGAACATGATCCAAGCAGTCTGAGTGTCTTCCCACCCAACCCATCATGGCACCCACAATTGGAGACCACAGTCTCAATGATGTGTTCACGTTATTTTGCATGTCTTGAGTAATCATAACATGCTGGTTAGAAGACATGAATTAGAACACTTCGGATGAAAAGCCAAGTAATTGGGAAATTCTGGGACTACTCCCTCAAAAAAAAAAAAAAAAACAGCTCGTGGAAGACCTAGGACTTAGCTTCTTCGAGACTGCGTTTATGTGAAGCATTTTCCCCTTTGTAAGCCCATCATTGTGTAAAAGTGTCAAAACTGTGCAACACATTTTTTGATAGTTCAAAAGAAAACCCCCACAAACGCTTTATGTCGTTAGTTCTTTGATAAATCAAGATGGAGCCGTACACCTGTGTCACTCTCCCTCCCATTTGGTTCCCGTGAACAAACGTCAGATATCCCGGTTCGCTCTCCACCCAACTCTCTGCAATACCATACCAGAAAGAAACTTCAGACGAAATGTTTTTCAACATTTGCCTTGTTTTCTAGAACAATTTTAAAGTATAAATTATAACTAAATAAGGTAAACACCTTGTTTGTACTTAGTTATAATTTATACTTTAAAATTATTTGTACTTGCTTTAATTTTCAAACATCTTGAACTCAGATTTTCAGGAGTCTCAATATGGAGTTTTACGTTTAAAAGTCTAAATTTAGCTTTCTTCCAAGGAAAAGCGGGGAAGAAGAGAGGTTAAGACTAAAATACTCCGATTTGCAGAGTTTGACAATATCCTTCCAATTTCTCAATACCAATGCCCACTGACCCAGACATTCCACTTCTAGGAATTTTCCACCAATATATTTGTGTGAACGTATACAGAAAACGGTATTCATTGTCGTATCTATGCTAGTAAAAACTCGAAACAACCTAAATCTCCATTTCCTGTTTAAACAAGGTACTTCCCATACAATGCTTCAGGTTTTTTTAATGCCATGAACACACCTACCTGTCCTGCCATGAGAAGATGTCCTTAATATACTCAGTGCACAGAACAAGTTCGAAACGATTTTGAAGACTTGTACATAGAAGCGTTTCTGATAAGGTACAAACAAAAATGAGACTGAATGGAAGATGGGGAGACACGTTTGTCTGCCTTGTTTGGATTTTTTTTACAAGTTTGTAACATTTCTGTCATTTCTTTTTTTTTTTTTTTTTTCAATTAAACGGAAAGTCATGCCCAAAGCCCAAATAACTCTATCAGCTCAGAAAAGCATTCGCTGGCCCAATATATGCCCGTATACATACAGATCACCACCGTGATTTGCAGAGCACGATTATCCATCAGTCCCTTAACTATCTGGCTGGTCCAGGAGCAGAGCGCGATGTCTGTGCTGAAAAGAAAGCTTCCCAGGGGAGCCCCGCACTTGCCTCCAGCGCCACGCAGGCGTCCAGCCTCTACTGCCGCGTTCCTCGCCGGACTGCGCCGGGGACCGAGCTGCTGCCGCCGTTCCGCGCCGCGCCGCGCCGCCTCCGCCTGGCCCGCGCCCGGCTGCGCCCGGCTGCGCCCCGCCCAGCTTTCGTTTTCCTCTGAATGGAAAGCGAAACTTAGCGGGGCCTCCGCGCCCGGAGCGGGGCGCCCGCGTGCAGGGAAACCCCGCCGGCCGCAGCCGCGCGCCTACCTGCTGGGGACATCAGCGCTCGCAGACCGGCAGGGCTTGCAAACGCTGCCCTTTGCCCACGTGTCAGAACACACGCGCCTTTTTTTTTTTTTTTTTTTTTTTTTTGTGACAGAGCCTCTGTGGTCCAAGCTGGAGTGCAGTGACGCAGGGGCGCGATCTCGGCTCACTGCAGCCTCCGTCTCCGGGGTTCAAGTGACTCTCCTGCCTCAGCCTCCCAGGCAGCTGGGATTACAGACGTGCCCCACCACGCCAGGCTAATTTTTGTATTTTAGTAGAGACAGGGTGTCGCCGTGTTGGCCAGGCTGGTCTCGAACCCCTGACCTCAGGTGATCCGCCCGCCTCAGCCTCCCAAAATGTTAGGATTACAGGTGTGAGCCACAGCACGCACCTACATGCGTCTTTTTATTTGCGATTTTCAGGTTCCTGCAATTAACATGCGTCTTAGAATCATCTGGCATTTGGTAATATCCACTGCAGCATTTTTTTTTTTTCTTAATGCTTTCGTATTTCTTGGATCGTGTATCTTCACATCACCGGCCTGTGGCTTGGATGACATGCGGCACGTGTTATAATTATGAGCTCCTCTGTGGGCATGCACATACAGATATTCCTCTGCTTAAGCTGGGGTTAGGCCAAGTGCGGTGGCTCACGTCTGTAATCGCAGCACTTTCAGATCACCTGAGGTCAGGAGTTCGAGACCAGCCTGGCCAACATGGTGAAACCCCATCTCTACTAAAAGTACAAAAATTAGCCAGACATGGTGCTGTGTACCTGTAATCCCAGTTACTCGGGGGACTGAGGCAGGAGAATCGCTTGAACCCAGGAGGCAGAGGTTGCAGTGAGCCGAGATCGCACCACGGCACTCCAGCCTGTACAACAACAAGAGCGAGACTCCGTCTCAAAAAAAAAAAAAAAAAAAAAAAGGGGAAAAGAACAAAAAAAAAAAAAAAAAAAAAAAGACGGGGTCAGGCCCCAGTCGAAACGTCATAAGTGAAGCCATAAGTAAGGGAGGGACCATCTGTATATATAAGGTTAAAAGAGCTATACCATGGGCACCAGAAAGGCTTATTACCTCTTTAGAGATGTATTTCTTGTATGCAGACTCATGGGGGTGGGGGCAGAGGGGTTATCTGCCAGGGGCCTCAAACTCCAGCGCTGGAATTTGCACAGGAAAGCAGGATACAATCCCCCCAAAGCGATCTGCCTTTCTCAAAGCTGTCCCCCCAGCAAGGGACAAATAGGGAGGCTCTAAAAACCCAAAGCTGCCTGGACCTCACTGAGGCACTGGTAGGGTCTGTAGTAAGGTACAGAATACCATGGCACGAAGATGTATAAACGTCCTCGTAACGGGGGCGTGTGTTAGAAGCATGAACACAGACATATATTTACAGGCTATCCACACGTCCATCATAAGCCCAGACTCCCCTTAGATTGCTGCTGGAACGGAGGCAGTGTCGTGCACAGCACAGCATTTCTCTCCGGAACGCTGGTGGACTGCGAGCAACATGGTGTTTACACAGGTACATGGTACTGAGCTCGGAGTCTGTCCTCATTATATATGTTGACCAATCGGTTATATGACCAGCTTCAAACATCTGGTAAGCCTTGTCCACAAACAGGAACCTCAGAAACTCAAGTGAGGGCGGTGAGGAGAGGATGCTGCAAAATTTGGTGAAATATGCTAAATATATCGAGTCAGTAGAAGGCTAAGGACCAAGCTGTATTTGCTTGCAGCAACTATCAGCAGAAAACTATTAATAGTCGATCCAGTGATTCTGTCTGAATCTTGGTAGGTCAGTGGAGCAAAGTACTTGCTGTTGCTGCCCCAGTGCAGAATGGACAAGGGTGACCCTTGGGGTGGAGGCTGGACTATATAATGTAAGGATCCATTACACTTCCATGGGGCTCTTCCATCCTTCATGGCACCTTCCTGAACAATTCCACGCTAAGGCCATCAGGTGTGTCAAGCAAATTGGGCATCTGTGTAGTATGTTTCACAGTGGCCCAAGCAGGGTGCTGGCCCAGAGCAGGATGAGGAGGGTGGCGGCACAGGGGGGCTGCCCAGCACTGGTGCAGCCTGCCCGGGTGTCAGATCCCAAGCAGTTGGAGGATGCGGCACGTCCCTGTGGCGGAGTGGCCCCGCGTGTGGGGTCGGGCGGGGGGGCAGGTGCTGGCGAGATGACAGATTAGTTACATACAGGGAGTTGACCAGGTAACTGCATGTATTAAGGATAATTGGAGCAAGTGTTGAAACTGTCAGAGATAGGAGTTACAGATAAGGAACAGGAGAACACGCCCACCGGTGTTGAACTGGAATTGGACTTCGCAGGGTGGATCTTTGATTTTCAGTATGTGCACACAAAGAAGGACATGTGGGGGTCAAGGTGTGTATACACGCATGCATTACATCCATACATCCCCTGACTCGGTCTGGAGGGGGCCTGGGAACAGTGACACCCCAATCTGGCACCCAGATTTTGGTTTCTAATTCCTATTCTTTAATAAAAGGAACCAATGTTGCTTAGAGAAATGGCTGTTTCCGGGGTTATGGCAGAGAAAGTACAAGATGAGCGTAGGACATCTTGCTCTGTCAGAAAGTAAGGAAATGCTCAAAGAATGATGGGGATGTTTCAAAACAATACAGAAGCCAACTCCGAGACCATGCTCCCACTGGCCAAATTCGGAAGAACTTGAGCAGCAAAAGGAATGATAGTAATATTTCAACCCTTTAAATAAAACAGGAAGCCATGCTTCATACCAATAAAAGTAGATATGAATAAATTAAAATTTTGGTGAGGAATAGGATATTTACACAGTTTCAAAGTATCTTCCCACAAAGTGCATATTATTAATTACCAATAATATTACATACATGTGATACCAACCAGGTTCGTTCTGCCCACATGCAATCATCAATCACTGTGACAGGTTTTGCAAAAGAGAAGAGTTATTCACAAGGCAGCCCAGTAAGGAGGCAAGAGAATAGCTCTCAAACCTGCCTCCCCGGCTGGGCACAATAGCTCACGCCTGTAATCCCAGCACTTTGGGAAGCCAAGGTGGGTAGATCACTTGAGGTCGGGAGTTCAAGACCTGGCCAACAAGGTAAAACCCTGTCTCTACTAAAAAAAAAAAGAAAACAATTAGCCAGGCCCATGCCTGGTGCATGCCTGTAATGCCAGCTACTCAGGAAGCTGAGGCAGGAGAGTCACTTGAACCCCAGGAGGCAGAGGTTGCAGTAAGCTGAGATTGCGCCGCTGCACTCCAGCCTGGGTGACAGAGTGAGACTTTGTCTCAAAAGAAAAAGATTAGCACTAAAAGAAAAAATTGTCAGGTCAGACTAAAGTTTCAAGAGGAAAAAAATCACAGGGTGGGGTCAAATAGTAGAGATAACAGAGTCATTTTTTTTTTAAATTAAAAGCCTATACTGGGGATAGGCACAGTGGCTCACGCCTATAATCCCAGCACTTTGGGAGGCCAAGGTGGGTAGATCGCTTGACGTCAGAAGTTCGAGACCACATTGGCCAACATGGTGAAACCCCATCTCTACAAAAAATACAAAAATTAGCTGGGCATGGAGGCAGGTGCCTGTAATCCCAGCTACTCAGAAGGCTGAGGCAGGAGAATCACTTGAACCTGGAAGTGAAGGTTGCAGTGAGCTGAGATCATGCCACTGCACTCCAGCCTGGGCAACAGAGTGAGACCTATAAATAAATAAATAAGCATGTATATATAAACAGAGGCCAGATAATGTCACTTCTCTGCTCACAACCTTTCATTGAATACCACATCTCATAGCAAACAGAAGCCAAAGGCCTTTGGCAAAATTCCCAGCTTTCAGGCCACAAAATTCATCTTGAAACTATAGCCTACTGAATGTACATAAACATTTCCTTAATATAAAACAATACATATTCACTGTAGAAAAATTGAAAAATATAAAACATGTAAAGGGGAAAATTACTTATAATTCCACAGTCTAAAATAACCACTACGCTGGTTGTTTTTAATATGTATAGCTTTTTGTAAATCTAGTTTTTACAACTTGATGATACTGAGGTAAACAAATTTGCCACTTCCATAAAAATTTTGAAAACAATCAAATAGAAATAAAATAATAAAAAGACATATTGGCAGAGTGGGTGTTGTTTTTTTTTTTAAAGAACCAGCTGGGTGCAGTGGCTCACACCTGTAATCCTGTAATCCCAGCACTTTGGGAGGCTGAGACAGGCAGATCACAAGGTCAGAAGTTCATGCAGCCTGACCAACGTGGTGAAACCCCGTCTCTACTAAAAATACAAAAATTAGCTGGGCGTGGTGCCACGCACCTGTAATGCCAGCTACTCAGGAGCTGAGGCATGAGAATCACTAGGGCATGCCAGCGCACTCGAGCCTGGGCAACAGAGTGAGACTCCACCTCAAAATAAATAAATGAATAAATAAAAATAAAAAGAAGAACCAAACAGCCAGGCATAGTGGCTCACACTGGACGCTGAGGTCGGAGGGTTACTTGAGCCCAGAAGTTGGAGACCAACCTGGGCAACATAACTATGCTACGTCCCTACACATTTTGTTTTTTTTATTTAGCTGATAGCTGAGCGTGGTGGCACACACCTGTCGCCTAGCTACTTAGGAGGCTGAGGCAGGAGGATCGCTTGAGTCCAGAAGTTCAAGGCTGCAGTGAGCTGATTGCGTCACTGCACTCCAGGCTAAGCAAAAAAGAGTGAGATCTTGACGCAAAAAAATATTTTTTTCAAAAGTATTTCCTAAGAAATCTTAAATACAGTGATTCGAGAAGATCGATAATAAAACTGAAAAAAGATACTGCATACAAATGTTAAAACTGGGTTAAGTTACTCTCAACCCCTCTGCACTATTT